CAAAGGATCATGTCTAAATGTGACCAAATACATACCAGTAATCTTCTGAATGAATCAAACATAGATTTTTTTATGTATAACTTGAATCCTCTGAAAACTCTGTAACTGCAGGGCTGAATGTACCAGGATACACCATTTATAGATGGGACAAATCAGAAGTTAGAGGAGGAGGGGTGATGTTCTATGTAAGGGAACACTTGAAATGCAGCCACATAAAATGTACATCCCCTAACAATTTGGAATATATCAGATTCAATGTAAATCCCTCCAATTACACTGACTGGAATATACGGGCCTCCATCAACCTCTAGTGTGTTCTATGTGGAACTACAGGCTGTCCTTAAAGAATGTCACTGGAAGGAGGAAAGCATTTTACTTATAAACTGGTTTGACAAATCTAACTGCAAAAAACTCAAATCAGTTGTAAATAATCATGATCTGTCTCAAATAATAGAAGTTCCAACCAGAATAAGCAAGTCCGTTGAGACAGGCATTTGGTATTCTCTAATAGAACAGACAGAATTCATAAAACCTTCAACATGGTTACCAATCTATCAGACCATAACTTAATTCTTTTCTTAAGAAAATTATCCAAAAATAGATATGCCAGACCCTTTAATAAATCACCTGAACAGTTAAAAAATACCCAAAAGTGAAATAAATCATCTGGAAACCACCTTGAATTAAATAAACTGGTCTGATCATCTCTCACATGATATCTTAAATGAAAACTGTAAAGTATTCACAAAACAAATTCAAGATACAATTAGTCAATTTCAGAAAGTGGTAAAAGCCAGACCCCAGGAAAAACATCTACCTTGGCTCAATGAAGAAATCTGGACTCTGATAAAACAGCATGACCACACACTTAAGATCTCACTGAAATCCGGACACACTGACCGGAACCTCACTTCAAATAGCAACATTAGAAAGATTAAATTTTGTAATAATAAAGTAACCAATGATCCATCAAAAATAGTGTTAGCCTTCAGTACATGTTTTGTGGACTTTGTTGAGAATCTGTCACAAAAGGTATCAGCCATGGCAGACACAGGCCATGCTGTGATGTCTGCCACTACTGATGAACCTGCTTTTGATATAAATCCAGTATCACATATGCAAATTGATAAAATAAACAGTAGTGCATTTGGGTTGAGTACACTGTTTATTAAAACATACAAACCATCTCTCATATCACTTATAACTAGAATTATAAATGAATAAAAAAATTAATATTAACAATCAATAATAAAGCTCTCCCAAACTCTTGGAAGATCTCAGCGATTACACTAATCTCTAAATCTGGAGATCCAACAGAAACAAGGAACTATAGATACCAAGTATCTACTGCATACCAGCAGTATCTACTGCAAAAAACAAATATCAAGCAGCTAAAGAACTGACAAATGCAATGAACACAATTTCAGAGTGGCTATAGAGGTAAAAAAAACCTCCCTCAAATAACCCTACAATAACCCTCCTGTACTGATAAAAGGAACACCAATTGAGACATTTAGTTCAATGTGTCTAATTTTAAACACATAAGAGACCATCGACTACATCCATCTCATTGGAGGCAACTAAGCTGTATTTTAACGCAATCATTGTTTCTCATGACATACTGCATGACAAGCTGGGTCTCAGCATGCAAGACCACTCTGAAACCAATTGAAACAGTATATATATAAACAAGCCTTTATTTTGAAGAAACACCACATGTTGGGTTGGGAACACATGATTAAACTTGCAGACTCTATTCTTATGTACAAACTTTTACCCCTGTTCCACTAGAAGAATTTGTTTTTAAAAATCAAAACAGATCAACAAGAGTAAGCTCCAGAGGTGACTGTATAATACCATCAAGGAAAGTGCCTTTGGACAAGCTGTTTTTTTCATCCCAGTGACTATAGGTGAGCTGCCTATACTTAGCTCCTTCTCTGCTGAAGAAGAGTGGTCATCATTGTATCAGTTGGTGAAATAGAGGTCAATTTGTGTCTTCACTAATACAAATATTTACTTCACTATCATGGACCACACCACAAAAATGGTATACAGTAAAGATAGGGGGAAAAGGGGGGTATAGAGAGTGGAGATAGAAGGTTTTGTCAGGATAGGCCTGTATAAATAGGGCTTCTGGGTAACTGAAGGTGTGGTTGAGCTGAGCTGTGGTTTGCTGGAGAGGACCAGGGGGAGATTGAGGCTTGGTCCTTCTCTTGAATTGCAGTCAGTCATATGAACTCCACATGTCATCATCTCTGTCAGGTTCAGGAGCGCCTCTCCATCATCCAGAGCAGGAAAGCTGAGGAGGACCAGCTTGGCCTCAAGGACAGACTCAAACTGCTCACACAGGATCTCCCACAGGTAACAACTGTTACAACAGGGGAGATTGTCTAGGGCACCTTGGCAGGTATGGGCCAGTGATGTGAGGATGGAAGCACATAATGAATTGGGATGGGGTTAGGATGGAATAGCTCTTGACACTTACACACTGTTGAAGAGGACACAGAGAGGCTCGTGATGCTGCTGCCACACTGAGGGTGTTGGCTAAATAGGTTTGTTTTATGTGGCATCACAACATTTTAAAATCACTTTAGTTAAAATTTTGCCCGAGGACAGGTCCAGAATACTGTGGTAGAATATGGCCACATGGTAGCTGAGTGTCTAGCATTGATGCCTCACAGCAAGAAGGTTCTGGGTTTGAGTCTCACGTAGCCTGAGCCTATCTTTTTGCATTTTCCCATCAGCCCAAAACATGCACAATAGGTCAAATCCTCCAGCCATCTCTCTCCACGTGGAATAAAACAGGCACAAAGTTCAATGTCTTCTCTATTTCTCTGCCAGTATAAATAAACACACAATAACACAGCGTAAAGTGGTGACAGTATTCAGCCCCAAAGATATGATGGGTGTCAGATGAAATTACTTGTGCCATCATGTAAATATATATATATATATTTTGAAGCTAATTCCACAAATAATGAAATATAGTTTATGTACTATATGTTTGGATGTTTCTTCCAAAAACAGTGACTCCCCCTGTAGGGAAAGGCACCTGCCCCCTATCATCAAATTATAGACTATAGAATGTATTCTCAAGAAAGAGAGAGTGCTATGACTGACAGGAGGTAGGAACAGGGAAACAAGTATGACTTTCAAGATATATTTCTAATAATTGATAATTGGGTTGGTTTTGTAGGAGGACATCCAGCAGCAGAAGGCGGTCGTGAAGGAGAGACTGGAGCAGCTAAGAAGAGAGCGCTCTTACATCCTGCAATCCAAGAGAGACAAGTCAGTCCCTCCATGTGCGATCAGCCCCACATAGACCAGTGATATAACTTTGTCTTCTCTTCTGCAGGAACACAGCTGGGTTTAAGGAGCTCCTGGGCCCTGTGGGACTGCACCACACTAAAATCAAGGAGGATGCTGACTGAGCTATGACAGAGTTATTGTCCACTCCTTTTCATTTGCAGTTTATTTATTGATTATTTGTTAGGGACAAATACAATAAACAGATATTATGTAGCCGAAGCATAGGTGGTGTTACTCAGTTACATTTACTTGAGTAATGTTTTAACAAAATTGTACTTTTCTAATGGCATACTTTTACTCCTACTTGAGCATTATTTTATGTTATTATTTTAAGTGTACAAGTGACAAAACCTTTATGTTAACGATATGAAATGATTTGAACATTTGTTCCTTGCACTGCTCCTTCAGATATTTAGTTTTTAGTCATTTTTGTGTCCTTTGAAAACATCAAACATTTAATGTTTTGTCGTTCAAATTACATTAACTTTATCACAAATTATACATCAGATGTTACATCGGATAGTCACTCTTTTTATTTCTAAAAAAAAAGTAATGTATGTCTGATGTAAATGTTAGTTTTACTTGACTAACTTCTTGCACTTTGTAGGAACTTCACTCACCCATTCACACACATATTCATGCACCAGTTTTATGCAGACACTGGAGTTAAGGGGGCTAAGCATTTTGCCCTAGGACACAATGACTCAAAGTTGAGAGCACCATCAACCTGTGGGTCAGTGGATTTGGCCATGCTATCATTGTTTATGTCTAGAGCGGGATTCGAACTGCTGACGTTTGGATCAGATTTGAACACTACCAAAATTGAACTACTTCCGCCCTCTGTCCCAGCCCCCATAGAGTACTGTATACTGTAGGCAAGAAGGTTTTGCTTGGTAGAGACCAGTAAGACACCTGTTGCTACACACCTTCACACACAACATTTATTCAGAAATAGAGGAGCCTAGTAGCACCACTGTCAGACTGTCTGCTCCCAAGACTGTTTACTATATTACTTTAAAGATATGGCTGCACAAATAAGGAAAAATATCTAATCGCTTTTTTTTTTTTTTTTTCAGTTATTAGATTTGCAATTTTTGTTTTATAAAATAGAATTCTGTTCAAATTTCACAATTTAAACGCATTCTGAACTGGCAAAAATACTGAAAAAGGAACTGACAAACTAATACAAGAATCACATTTGCCACGTTTATACTGTTCTAAAATATAGTGTTAGCACTTTCAATGCAAGATAAGACAGGATACTGTGGTTTTAGAGGAAGAAATTATACTTAAAATTGTAGCCTTTGTGATTTGCTAACTGCGTCTATTGAAGTTGTGATTTTAATTCAGTTGCAATTAATCTTGCAGTCCTAAAGAGTGTCAATATTTTAAGTATACCTTGTAAGTATAAGTTTTGCTGCCTTCTTCTTCAGTCTACTGATTTGTAATTGAAATTTTGATAAGTATTCAAAGTTCTTCTGTACATTTTTGACAATATATTTCTCCAACAATGCATTCAGGTTTATTGACAATAAATGAATATTCGGTATATATTTTTGACTCATGCCCTTTTTTAGACTGAATAGCCATTGAGCTATAGGGCTGCTGGTATTACCTTAGTACAGTCTTCTTTACAGTGATATTATCATGTCATAGACATTAAATGAATAACAGAGTAACAGGCACATGGCTGGTTTCTTATACATTTTAATAATCTGGACAAACATAAGCATTAACATTAATTTATCACTGCTCCCCTTAGTTGTGTACACGTCAAACCCCAGTGGACTAAATTACATACACCGTGAGTCCTGAAGGTGCGGGTCGACCCTCCACATAGCGCCTTTTTACTTATAAGATTGATTTGGGTTTGCTTGTTGCTTACATAACACACAGGACACTGCTGTAGAGGCCCACTGCACCTAAGAAGGATGTATTTACAAGTTAACGGAGATTTAATGAGCAGGCCCAATGACATTTGGCAAACGACTGAACAAATGTGTGAAGTGTTTGTACAGAGGGGCTCTAAGAGTCCAGAGGAGAGGGGAGGGGGTCTAAAGTGAAGCAAATGAGAATCCACTTCTTTTATATGACTGTATAGTTATGTACAAGCGCACTGCAGTCCAACATAAAGCAGAAACACTAATGCTAAACAAACATTCAACTGTGGCTCCTGTATCACACACATACAAGGTACACCAGTCCTCAGCAATCATGAGGAGTATACAACAGAAAGGGTCAAGTTTTGTAGCCCCACATTCACTCTATGAAGATCAAAGCTGGGTTTAAACTTAAGAGACATCCCACCATAGGTGCACTATGGAGGTGTGTGGAGTAGACTGAACTAAACTTGTACAAACCATTCTCCAAATATTTCACCCGTAGGAAGCCTATGAAACATGCCCCTGTGTGCTATGGGGACAGCTTTACTTAAACAAAGGCAGGGCACATTGATATTAGGAACATGTTGAACTGAACTTCATTATCACCACTACTTCCAATACTTCAACGTGTATGTGCAAGATCAGTGCAGAAAGCAGCATGTGCTGGTAAACTACAGCTTTACATCTTAGCCACTGGTCTATGTTATTGTAATCTAGTGTGCCCTATATGAGGAAAACGGATCAGACCAAGTCAAGATCAGCCAGTGATAATGAACCACCTTCAGATTGTGGTTTTTGTGAGCAGTGCTGTCCATAAACAAAAGAATCATTGTTCCAGCATTTTACATGTGATGGGCACCATGATGAGATGTGAGGTGATTATGGATTCAGAGACTTCCCTCAGATATTAGAGGAAATGGGGCATGTCTGCATGTCAGGTCTGTCAGCTCAGAGTTTGTGTATATGCTAACATCTGTGTGTGTTTCTATGAGAGGAGTCTCTACTGGTGTGCACACTGCACCCCAGGCCCATGGTGGCCGCCTTCCTCATCTGAACTATCATTATAAGCCTCCCTCCTGGCTCCACCCCCGGCTTGACTCTTGTCAAACTCTGTCAGGTCCACTTCTTCTGCATCAGGAGCGATGACCGGCGTCTCAGAGCGGGCGGGCAGCAAGCACTCCAGTTCCTGTAAACAGCACAACATCAAATTAAAGGCCCAGAGTCAGACATTCAAATGTAAACGTGACTGATTTAAACTCACATTGAGCTTTTCAGGGCTAATCCAGTTGTTCTCAGGAAATTGAACATCAAACTTAATGTAGAGGTCTCCCTTCTCAAATGGGTTTCTGTACTGTGGCATTCCCTCTCCTTTCACCACTCGTATAGAACCTGTGCACAAATGTGACATGAAACTTTTCTTGTTCTATATTAGGTACATGCTTCATGACCAAATCCCAGCTTAAGTATCACATTTACCTGGCTCAATCACTTTTCCAGTTGGATATTTGACAAGCAGCTGTCGTCCATCTAAATGTGTGATGGTCATCTGGAACCCACAAAGAGCCTCCACTAGACCAATGCGCTGCACCATATGCAGGTCACTTCCATCGCGCTTAAAATCCTGGTTGGCAACAGAATGAATAGATTAAACTGGGTTTGGGTTATCAAACATATTTCAAACATTCAGCATTATGTCAGATAAGGATGATCCAAACTGAAATCCATTTAGTGTCCATATGAGATTTTTAAGCGTTAAATCTTCTAACAAACTTACAAGCTGCCTGACCCAAGAAATGAAATACACTTTACTGTTTGATTATGTCATACAGTCCTAAACAACATAATAAAATTACTGAATATTTCAACAATACTGTTTTTGAAATGAATCTGCATCAACATTGTTCTCCATATTCACAAAGTGTGCACCCGTTGTCTTGATGACAAGAGAAGCATTTCAAGGGGTAAGTTGGAATGCGCACTTTGGTGACTTTCTTTTCGTCCATGGAGTGTACTTGACTAGTGAGTCAAACTAGAGTCTACAGTGTACAAAGGGTCAGTAGCAGATGTTACCTCATGCTCCTTCTCCTGCAGCACCAGGACGATGTCTCCTGGTTCTACCCCTGGAGCTTGGTCTGCCTCTCCAGTGAATGTGATTTTCTGGCCGTGCTTCATGCCTTTGTCCACGTGCACTTCCAGGAGCTTGGTCTCCTTACTGACCTTGTGCCCTTCGCACTTCTTACAGCGGTCCTTCTCATTAATGACCTCACCTGTGCAAAGAGCTCTGGGATTCACTCATAGCTCTCAGTGCTTTGGTAAACTGACTGAGAACACTAATGTTACCTTCTCCGTTACAGTCTGTGCACACGGACTGCATCTGTTGGACCATCCCAGGAGCCAGCTGTCTGATCATGACCCTCATCCCTCGTCCTCTACATGCAGTACACTTCTGAACAGCCCCAGCCTTACCCCCTTGACTGAAAGTGGACACATAGACAATTAAGACATTGTTAAATCAAAGAGAATAAACAATGACTATGAAAACTCACCCATTGCACGCACTACACAGCACATTCTTACTGAGCTGTAGTTTTGTGGTTTTCCCATTGTAGAGATCCTCCAAGGAAACTCTGCAACACAGTGCCATTTAGTAACAGCATTAATAACAGTAACAACATTAAAGGAGCATTGCGGAACTTTTCTAATGGATGGTCCGCCACCTGCTCATCTCTGTGGAAGTGCTATTGCTTTGCCCGGAGTCTTCTACACTATGGTATGGTACTTTTCTGTCTCCATGGAGACAATAAGGTGACATCGCCATCCCAAGTTAAAGATCAGATCTGTGTAGAGGTGACCCTCCTCACACTATGAATGCATGTTTTTTATGAGCTCCAAAACACCCACAGTTGACAAATAAATGGTAGATCAATCAGGTTAATGCAAATACAATGAAGCTTTCAAGATAAGGCTTTAACATAGCCAGGAAGACAAACAGGTGACATACCATCCACCATAAATGTTAAGTGGTGCACCTTTAACACATATATCTAGGTTTGTTAAAAGTATCAAAAATCAGACACTAATTTATACTAAAAGTAATATCAAACCGAGATAATCATTTGAGCAGGTATCAATACTAAAAAATTCACATTCACTGGATTCTGTTCGGTGAATGTGACTTTTTTAATATTAAAAAATCCTGAATAGATTTAGAATGATCTTGAGCTGTATCAGAACAGACCACACATAGTAGTATGCACTCATGGACCAAGATGAACCCTACCTAGATGACAGAGGGATTACAAAGATATAAGGTCACATGGTAATGTAAAAGAAAGGACTATGATTTAAAGTTGAAGAGTGTTTTTAATAATCATTGTCATATCTGAATTGCTTTTGAGTCTATTCCTTAGTATTGAAATAAAATCTGACCAAAGCGTGATGTCAAACCTACTTCAGGGGGTGCACCATGTCCTCGCCCCGCCTTCGCCCGCCGTTACGCCTCCGTCCTCCGTCCATGAACCCAAACAGCCCTCCCCCAAAGATGTGGGAGAAAATGTCATCCATGCCGGGCCCGGGGCCTCCTCCCTCCCGCAGACCCTGCTCTCCATAACGGTCATACAGCTCTTTCTTTTCAGGGTTGGACAGTACTTCATAGGCAAAGCTTATCTCTTTAAACTGGAAATATAAACATAAGTTGACATAAACAGTTCATATAATTTACAATGTATATCTCATTAATTCCGTTTTATTCAATCCTACCTTGTCTCCAGCATCAGGGTTCTTGTCCGGATGATACTCTTTGGCTAATTTTCGGTAGGCCTAAAAAAATACAATCTGTTTGAGTTCTGTGGAAGATCCAGCTGAAACTATTTCCATCTCTGCTCTCTCCTGAAATGCTTGGCCTGTCAGAAACACCAGCCACTCAGAGGACTCACTCAGAGGACTTACTGCTGGTGACATCCCCAGTGAAGCCACTCTGTATGTGTGCCTCCTAACCGCTCATTTATTACACAGATACTAAACTAACAAAGTCATTTCATTATCTGTGTAAGATACACGTAATATACCAAATAATCTTTTCCCTGAATAATACAGATCTGGTGACAGCATAGTCATTGCTAAGTGCTAAACCTGAATGCACTCTTCTCTAGCTTGTGTAGCAAGGGCAGGGAATAAAGGATGACGTTCATTGTTCAGTATTAAAGGCTGTGTCAGAGGACATCCACCTGTGTGTAGTTTATTACTCGCTCATATTTTAGCCATTAGCCTATTTCATAACAATAACAAGGTTAGTACAGTTAAACTTTTTCATTGTTTAACCTGAACAATGGTTCTACAGTCCAAAGACGCTTTTAATGCGTAGCTTTGCAAATGACCAATCCAAATAAAGTGTAGACTTGTCTCACTGGAGGTTATTGACTTGTTTTTCCATTAACGTTAAGGAGCCTGTTTGCTAGCTCCTACTCCTGATATTGTGTGTTCAGTGGTTACAAACTGAAGATGTTATCAGGTCTTCTTCTTGTCCTCTGTAAAAACATCTGTACACGGTATGTGGACAATAACTGCGGACTGTCAGTGACCCAGTCCCGCGGGTTAGCGCACATTCAGCCCCGGTGGAAACGATCTTGACACGACTAGCGCACTGCCAACTGCTTTTAGCATTAGAGCTAAAGCTACACGAACTAGCTCACGTTGTCAACTCTATACCAGGCTGCTATCCGCAGTACACCTCTCTTCACATTTTCTTTTGCTCGTCCCTCTACCCAATATCTACCTGCTTTTGAGAACATACCTTTTTCAGCTCATTTTCCGAAACCGAGGGTGAAACTCCAAGGATATCGTAGAGCCTGGTATCCGCGACATTCGCCATGATGCTAACAGGCTAAAGGCTAACAGTGAACGAGCCTCTGCGGAGAGTCAACCCAGAGTCAGCTGAGCGCAGCCGCGGACAGCCCCCCACAGCCCCGTATGTCTAAATACAGCGGCCCCCCCGAGAGACACCCCGAGAGACACCCAAAGCCCCCCCCAGGAACACCCAGCCACCAGAGTTGGATAGTGTCAGGTTGTACAGTCTTTCTGGAGCTTTCCAGACAAGTCAAGAAGAGCAATAATAGTCAGTATTGCCATGGCCACAAATACACGGAGACCAGACGTCCCTGTTTACCCAGGATAGTCCCAGTTTTGAGCTCTGTGTCCCCTGTCCCAGCAGATTTATCCAGAACCATTGATTTGTCCCAGTTTTGTACAAGAAATGTCCCAGGTGTCCCTATTTTTGACAAGTTTGTTACCTAGCAACAGTAAAGAGAGGAATCAATTGCAATTTGTTTAGGTAAAATATAGAAATGCATGCTTAAAAATGACCAAAAGACAAAGAAAATGTGACTATGCTGACTCAAGTGGGCTGAGTGCATAACAATTGTCTTTAATTACACACTCCTTTCACAGTTTTATTATTACCAACCACTCCAAACCAGTAGTGTCCCAGTTTTTGATTTTGAAAATCTGGTCACCCTACACGAATACATAATAGTGCATTTACATTTGTATATATTTGTATAGTGTATTGCATGCTAACTCAACAAATTTATTTGCTCATAATTGTGAATTTTTTAACTTTTTCTGTGACTTTGCCTGTGCACAAAGGCAAATTGTAGGGTCAAACTTGTTCAGGTCTCCTGAAGACAGACACTTATTACATATTTGACCAAGTAAATATTTATTATATAATTATTTTTATATTTATTTATTTGTATTTATTCATGTATGTATGTATTACCCCCACCCCCCAACAATCTTCAGTGATGCGTCTCTCGAGCCCTCTGCGAACCTGCCCTGCGCCCCTCCCGTCTCTAAAGCCGCCCCTGCTGACAGAGCGCCGCTATGGGCCTGCCGCCGGTGACCTAGCGCTTACGGCCAAAGTCGGCGAGATTCCCCTTCGCATCTCCCTTGACCTGCTCTACAGAAATGATAGACATAAGGTAAGCCCCCGTGAGCGTCTTGTTGGGCTATTTGCGCCAATATTGCCCGAGTAAAAGCTTGTTGTCATTCAGCGTAAAGGATGAGGAGGGAGAGTAGCGCTAGGTCTGAGTAAGGACATCGGTGTTTGCAATGAGGCTGCTAATAGCACGTTACTTTGCGCCGTAGCCCTGTGTTGCGTACTTCTTTCTACACAACGCATAGCTATTTTAACACAAAAACAAAATCTATATCGGACTCAAATCTAACATGGACGGAATGGTAAGTATTGGGTCGCGTATGAGCCATGACACCGAGATTGGAGGAGGTTTCCAGTGATGGATAAACCACGGTGCACGTAACTTATCCAGATATAAACGCATTAAACCATGGACAGTGACGCTTGTGCACTATTAAAATCATGTTATTGCTCATACATTAGCACAGTTAGCGTCTGATTCTACAAATATACTAGAAAGGCCTGTGTTAGTTCAGGAAGCAAGTGATAGATATTTTACTTTAATACTAGCAAAAAAAAAAGCAATTCTAAAAGCTATTTAAGCTATGGGTCCAGTGGTACCAATTTTGGCTATATATACCACAAGTGCTTCAAAATGTCATGTAAGCTGCTTATTGTTTTTTAAGATTTGATATGGCTAATTTAATTTCAAGTCTTCAAGTCTGGTCCCTATGATAACAATATAGCCTTCAGTAGCCTATATTAATCACAATTATTGACACACATTGTCTAATATATTACTATTGCTCTATGGGACTAACTTTATGAAATCAAACTTCCTTAAGTAAAGTAATGTGACATAAACAGACACTTTCCAATTAGGTTAGAGGAATACTGAATTGAAATTACTTATTTTGCTTCAAAAATTCTCATAGTTATTATTTTAGTTCCTACTCTTATATTGTGGCAACCACAATTATAAATTAAGCAAATAATCTTGACATTCCTAACATAGTTTGATCAAAAAACACCAACACTGAGACTGTATCATGTTGTTGCCCAAATCACCAAACCAGAGCTGATCCAAGGTTAAACAAGGACACAGTTAAGTAACACAAAATAGGGACAATATTGTGTCATAAACCAGGTTTAAAGGCCCCATATTACACTATTTTCTGAACTATGTTGTTTCCTCATCAAAAACACCAGGAGTTGTGTTTTGTTTCATTCACACATGATTAACACACAAACCCTGCATTTTAGGTGAGTTCTCTCAAACAGAAAACACTCAAAATGCTCTGTTCCACCTTGTGATGTCATGTGGTGAAAAAGGAAGTGCTCCAGTGTCTTTTCAATAATGTCACCCCTGGAATTGCCAATTTCTATTGAATGTATAACTAAAAAAGTATAAAACTTGAAAAAAGTATAAAACTTGAAAACTACCACTACGTGGTATCACAAGGTGGAACAGAGCATTTTGCTTTGGCAATGTAGACATAAAAAAAGATTACACAACCATGTGTGAATGGAAACAAATGTGTGAATAAAACAAAATACAACTCTGTATGTAACAAAATTGTATGTTTTTGATGAGGGAGCAATATTATAACAAGACTTAAAGCTCACAGGAATCCATTTTGTGTAATACAGGCCTTTTAACCTATTTTAAATCAGGGCAACTATAACGTCTCCTTAGAGACAAGAAGGTGGCAGAAAAGCTACTTATTGCACCTTTAAGTAAGCTGCTCTAAATAAGTAGGCCTATGTAACTAAAAATTGCTAGTAGAAGTTTGCATACCACTGCTATTACCTGTCCCAAAGTTTTAGAACCATCAGATCCCATCTATGCTTCTACTAAATCTTAATTTTAAAACCATATTTGATTTATTATGCATTTATTATGTATCTTTTCTTAGTATTGCTATTGACTGTCTGCCTCTTTATACACCAATAAACACATAACAGCAACAGCATCACCTGCTTTGATTGGGCAGAGCAATTTGTGGCTTAAAACAACTTAATCCGGTTTTTATAACCTGATGAATTGAGTGATTTCTTGAAACACTACTTTGTACTTCTACTTGAGTAATATTAATTTGAAAAAACATTACTCTTACTTGAGTACAATTTTTGGCTACTCTACCCATCACTGTTATTATCCATGTAATGGCAGTTGTACATGAATCCAAATATTAATTTCTCTTTCCACCACTGGTTGTCTTGCAGCTAAGTGTGTGTGAGGCAGACAGCAGCAGCAGCCATGTTCTGGAAGTTCGATCTGCAAACAGCCTCTCACCTGGAGGCTCTACTGGACCAGGAGGACGTGAGCCTGAGCCAGCTGCTGGAGGAGGAAGATGTTCTGCAGGAGTGCAAGGCTCAGAACAGGAGGTGCTCGCTGCTACTTTTTATTTGTGTTGTTGAAGTGATTATGTACCAAAACTGCTTCTTCAGAATACCAATTCTGAGTAACTGTATAGTAAAAGTGTTGCTCAAAATTAATATACTTAAGTCAAATTATTGTCACATAAACAGACTCAAACTTGAAGTAAAATAGCTCAAATTAGTTTGCTAGCTCTTACGATTGTGAAATTAATCATCATGTTTTTTGAATAACCTAATGATCTTCAATGCTAGACTGGGCAGTACCTAGAGGACTAAAGGGAATAGTGAGGGGAGAGGAGGGGCAGGGTCTGGACATATGAGGAACAGTGTGATCGGTCTAACATTTCAAACTGTCACATTTCTTTTTCAAACTGGCTGTAATCAGGGCTTTTTTTGTGATGTTACCAGCTAATGGAAATTGCAGAGGCCTCTGGAGCCAGGACATACTTAGATTAAGGCGTTTTTGTCCAGAAATCTGCTATTTTTCCTCATTGATGCTAAAGCTGCCAAAACTGACTAAGAACAGTATATAATGCTGCTCCACTTTAACTTTCCTAGGCAATTTCTACATATACAATAATTTCAATAATACCATACTTGTAGTAATGCATAATAATTGTAAAATAATAAATAATAAAATGCACTAATGCATCAAATCTTACTTACTTACTTACTTTATAACAGTTCTACTCCTAGCACTGCTCGGAATTATGTCTTATTTCCAAGTGAGATAACAACACAGTCCAGACTAGATCAATTCAATTCACTGCACATGCATTAACCTCAGAAAGCTTTACTGGGAGGGATTTGTTTGTCTGTCTGTATGCTTTTTAATAAGTAAATAACAATAACAAATATCAAAGATTGAAATAAACCAAAAGTTCAGTATTAGAACCAGTCTGTACCAGGATTACTCTTGCATTGTTATTCCATTGCTTTTGTTCTGCTCTGATTTGGACCTGGTACAATCGTGATATAAAACCTGAGTCCAAGTTTTGGATCCGGCACATCACATTTAAAATAGTGAATTCAGTTATTACTCTATTTAATTATAAAGATTCTGTAAATAAAATAAAAAAAAACATTTAATAAACATTTAATAATCTTAAAATCAGGGCCAAAGCCACTTTTCTTCATACCATTACCATACTTTCTCTATAGTTAATTTTTGACTGTAATGAAGTAATCAGTTGAAATCATTGTGATTTAAATTATGAGCTAAATAATCATGATTAGATTTTTCATCATAGCCCAGTCAGACCTGGTGTTGATCAACATATTTTGTCAATGTGTGTCTCAATTGATCATTATCTCATAGGATTGCGATACACTGTATATATAATCTAGAGCAGACCTATATTACCATTCACTATGACCCTATTGAAAAGCAACAGTCAGTATAAAATGACTGAGAATAGTATGTAAAAGTGTATAGTCTAATATTGTATAACTAAACCAAAATGTGTCTCTGTCTTTTATTTGCAGACTTCTACTGTTCCTGTGTAAGGACCAGTCTATGCAGGAGCTGGTCCGTTTGATCACGACAGAGCCCCCTGCTGGTGTAGAGGAGACAAAGCGCTTCAAGTAGGCTTTTCATTATTTATTTAAAGCTGCTCTTTGTAATTGGAGGGTCAGCTACTTGCTTGTCTCTTTGGA